GCGGAGGTTGCAGTGAGCCGAGATCGTGCCATTGCACTCCAGCCTGGGTAACAAGAGCGAAACTCCGTCTCAAAAAAAAAAAAAAAAAAAAAAAAACAGAGGGATTAGCGGAGGGATTAGATCCAGAGACCTAAGCTCTTTGGTATAATATAAGCAGTTCCCTTTAATTGAACACGTAGTTTGTGCCTGGCACTCATCTCATTTAATCCTTACAACAACACTATAAAGTATTATCACTCCATTCTGCAGTGGAAAAAACTGGGGCCAAAGATCAAACTAGATCCAGAAGTCTAGTATAAATGGAAAGAATTTAGAATGGGGCCCTAGGTGCAATCCAAACATTCATTATTACTATTTTTAGGGGGCAGGGTAATAATCTCAATAAATTGACTGATGCTTTGTTGCCTCTTCCCTTTTCACTAAACCCACTCTCTCCCCTCACAAGTCAAAGATAACCTAGTAGCCTAGGACGTAACTCAAATGGTATACAAGTTTTATAGGAAAATAACAGCTTTGGGATTTTCTCGAGGCAAGTTCCAGCCTGGCTTATAACATTGTGGACCCAAGGAGATACCAGTTCTGGATGGGGCACAGTCCTGTTCTTACACACAACAGAAGACAAGACTCACCATACAAATGTTGCATTCTTTTCCAATTGCACCCTCCATGGTTTGGAGGCATAGATAGCCTCCCCATTGATGCTCAGCCACTTCCCAACAGCAAGAAGCCTTTCTTGGAAGATGGGAACAATCAGTCCATCTTTAGTTGGTCCAATGTTCAGAAGATAGTTGCCTCCTAAACTTACTGTCTGAATCAGTTCCTGGAGAGAACAGAAACAATGAAAGTCTAGCTATGATTGCCAATCCTGGCATCATGCTTAAAATACACAGTAAGAGAAGAAATAGGATCTAAGGTACACTTTGTTTTGTACATATTTTCTGCTGTTTAAAAAAAAATGGTTTTTTTTGAGCTGAAGTTTCGAGTTTCACTCTTGTTGCCCAGGCTGGAGTACAATGGTGTGATCTTAGTTCCATGAAACCTCCACCTCCCTAGTTCTAGGGATTCTCCTGCCTCAGCCTCCTGAGTAGCTGGGACTACAGGCATGTACCGCCACATCCAGTTAATTTTTTTGTATTTTTAGTAGAGATAGGGTTTCACCATGTTGGCCAGGCTGGTCTCAAACTCCAGACCTCAGGTGATCCGCCCACCTAGACCTTGGAGAGTGCTGGGATTACAGGCATGAGCCACTGCATCCAGTCTAAAACTTCTATATACATATTTTTGTCACTATAAAAACAGGTTAGGCTCATATGAGTAAACTGAAAAATCATGCTATAAGATGGAGTTTTGCTCTTGTTGCCCAGGCTGGAGTGCAGTGGCACGATCTTAACTCACTAGAACCTCCGCCTCCCAGGTTCAAGCAATTCTCCTGCCTCAGCCTCCCGAGTAGCTGGGATTACAGACATGCACCACCATCCCCGGCTAATTTGTATTTTAAGTAGAGATGGGGTTTCGCTATGTTGGACAGGCTGGTTTCGAACTCCTGACCTCAAATGATCCACCAGCCTCGGCCTCCCAAAGTGCTGGGATTACAGGTGTGAGCTACCACGCCTGGCCAAGACGAGGTTTCACCATGTTGGCCAGGCTGGTCTTGAACGCCTGACCTCGTGATCTGCCTCAGCCTCCTGAGTAGCTGGGATTACAAGTATGTACCACCACACCTGGCTAATTTTTATTATTTTTTTAGTAGAGATGGGGTTTCACCATATTGGCCAGGTTGGTCTTGAAGTCCTGTCTTGGCCTCCCAAAGTGCTGGGATTACAGATGTGAGCCACTGCACCTGGCCGCTTATTTTTATTTTTAAAAATAGAGATGAGTGTCTCACTGTGTTGGTTAGGCTCATCTTGAATTCCTGCCCTAAAGCAATCCTCTCACCTTGATCTCCCAAAACGTTGGGATTACAGGTATGAGCCACCACCATGCCCAGCCAATTTGTAACTTGTTTAA